TGAGAGGATTTAAAAACAAGGCAGTTCGTTCCAACACTTGTCTGCTTTGACTCCTGACCTTGGAAAAACTTACACTTGCTCATTCACAGACAGAAAATCAGAAAATGCATAATTACTCTGTAACAGGCCTTAACATGAATTCTAACTTTGCATAAGCAACTAAAAATCATTATACTGTTTCACAGTTAATAAAAATTGATTAGTTCACTGCAACATCTAAAATGGTTTGAACTAAAACACTTTGATTATCAACATTTGTAAAATAGTAATGATAATAGAAAAGAGTGTTCTTTCACTTGTAGTTTCAATAAAGAAAGTCTCAGGATGAGTCAACCTGTATTTCTGGATTCAAATCAATGAAATGACAGCTTCTGTCCCACAAGGTCAAGTTTTGACATCAGGTCAAGTTCACTACATTTATATAGTGCCAAATCACAGCAAAGTTGTCTCAGGGCACTTTACAGAAACATTCACATACATAAAAGCCAATTAGTAAAGTTCTCTATCTAAGGAATCCAGCAGACAAGTTGAATCTTGGCTTCGATGCAGTCTCCCATCCTGAGCAAGCACAGTGGAGACAGTGGAAAGAAAAACTCCCTTTTAAAAGGAAGAAACCTCCAGCAGAACCAGGATCAGGACAAGCGGCCATCTGCTTTGACCAGCTGGTTTGAGAGGACAGGAAGGAGAGACAGACTAACACAGAATGGTAGATCCAGGTATAGGTCCAGGTGTATCTGAAAGACAAAAAAACACATGTTAAGGATAGAAAAAATAATTACAAATACAAAACAGGTTGAGCAGAGTAAGTAAAGACAGTAGCAGAGTGAAAATTGTGGTCAGTTTGTCCTCCAGCAGTCTAAGCCTATAGCAGCATAACTAAGGGACAGCTCAGGAAACCCAAGCCGACCCTAACTGTTACACCGCAGAAAATGATGGGCCGTGTCACTTCTGGTGTAGCATATTTATTTAGTTTGAACTGTGAACAGAAAAGCACAGCGGTTACAGTAGCTGCTCCTAATATCTGCTGCAGGCTGTTTTCTCAGCAACGGCGGACTTCTTCAGCCTGCCAGAGCGTCAACCTCTATACACACGGCACTGAGCGCCCTCTTGATGCGGAAACCCATACATTACAGGGTACAATAGATTCTAATGCTAGTTTCTGTCTGTAAGTAATCTATAGAAAAATAAATAAAATGGGGGGCTACTATTTTCATGCCTTGTTCTCTTTCATAGTGCCACATAACTATAGGATTAATCAAAAAAAGAAAGTCTTAAGCCTAGTTTTAAAACTGGATGATGTGTCAGCCTCACGGACAGATATTGGAAGTTGGTTCCACAAGAGAGGAGCCTGATAACTGAAGGATCTGCCTCCCATTCTGTTTTTGTAAATTCTAGGAACTACAAGTAAACCTGCAGTCTGAGAGCGAAGTGCTCTGTTAGGAAAATATGGAACAATAAGATCTGTAATATAAGATGGAGCCAAGTTGTTGAGAGCTTTGTAGGTTAGAAGTAAGATTTTGAATTCTATTCTGGATTTGACAGGGAGCCAATGGAGAGAAACTAAAACTGGAGAAATATGATCTCTCCCAGTAACTCCAGTTAAGACTCTGGCAGCAGCATTTTGGATCTGCTGAAGACGTTTTAAAGAAGTATTTGGACATCCAGATAATAAACCATTGCAATAGTCCAGTCTAGACGTAACAAATGCATGGACCAGTTTTTCTGCATCATTTTTAGATTTTTCTAATTTTAGTGATATTACGCAGAAGGAAGAAGGCAGTTCTACTAACGTTTTTAATGTGGGGGATAAAAGACATGTCCTGATCAAAAATAACGCCAAGATTTTTAACATTAGAGCTGGAGGACAGATTAATGCATCTAAGGAGGGAGAAAGACTGAAAAATTAATTCCTAAGGTGCTCAGGTCCAAAAACCAAAACCTCAGTCTTGTCTGTGTTCAACAGGAGAAAATTAAGGTTCATCCAGGTTTTTATGTCTTTAAGACATGCTTCTAGTCTAAGTAGCTGATTTGATTCATTGGGTTTAATGGACAAATATAATTGTGTATCATCAGCATAACAATGAAAATGTATCCCATGCTGTTTAATAATTTTACCTAATGGAAGCATATATAAAGTAAAGAGTATTGGCCCAAGCACTGAACCCTGAGGAACTCCATGACCAACTTTGGTGTATGAAGAAGATTTATTATTTACATTTATAAACTGGAATCTATCAGACAAATATGATTTAAACCATTTTAGAGCTGTTCCTGTAATTCCAACATCATATTCAAGCCTCTGTAGTAAAATATTGTGATCAACTGTATCAGATGCAGCACTGAGGTCTAACAGGACCAGTATAGACACAAGTCCATTGTCTGAGGCCATGAGAATATCTTTAGTTACTTTTACTAGTGCTGTTTCTGTGCTATGATGAGCTCTAAACCCTGACTGAAACTCTTCAAACAGATTATTTCTTTGTAGATGTTCACACAACTGACCTGCAACTATTTTCTCTAGAATTTTTGAGATGAAAGTTAGATTAGATATAGATCTATAGTTGGCCAGTATTTCTGAATCAAGATCAAACTTCTTAAGTAAAGGTTTAATTACAGCAACCTTAAAGCACTGTGGTACGTAACCATCCATTAAAGACAAATTAAGTAGATCCAAAATGTGGACATTAATTAGTGGAAATACCTCTTTAAACTGTCTGGTTGGGATGGGATCTAGCAGACATGTGGATGGTTTGGATGAGGTTATTATTTTTGACAATTCAGAGCTCAACAGGACAAAAACTGTCCAAACATAAATCAGGCTCTAGTGAAATTTTTAAAGTTGCCTCATATGACAGGGGACTAGAGATGGTAGAAGGATGGTTTGAATTTTCTCTCTAATTGAAATAATTTTATTTATAAAGAATCTCATGAAGTCATCACTACTTATAGTTGTAGGGATACATGGTTCAACAGAAATGGGACTTTTAATTAGTCTAGCAATAGTACTAAACAGAAACCTAGGGTTATTTTTATTCTCCTCTATTAAAGATGAGTAATATAAAGTTCTAGCTTTACAGAGAGCTTTTTTATATGTTAGCAGACCATCTTTCCAAGTTAAATAAAACTCTTCAACATTAGTAGAGCGCCATTTTCTCTCCTGGTTTCTAGATGCCTGCTTTAAAGTACATAACTCAGAATTGAACCAATGAGCCAGTTTCCTCTGATTGATTACTTTCTTTTTCAGTGGAGCAATTTTTATCAAGTGAAGTTTGCATTGAAGTTGTAAGATGATCAACTAGA